AACCCTCTCGTCTTTTCTTCTCCATATTTTTCTCCTTTCTTTTCCTCTCCCCTAATTCGACCCTTTCCTTTCTCAAACCCTCCTCCTTTTTTCTTTGCTCCCTTCCATTTTCTTTCTTTCTCTCTCTCTCTCCTTCTTTTCCTTTCTCCATTTCACTCATTACATTCTCTTTTGTTCTCTTTTGTTTCCCTTTTGCTTCATCTTTTTGTCTTTTATTTCTCTTTTTTAGTTTTTTCTTCTCTTTTCTTCTGTACATGTCTTTTTTTTCTTTTTGTCTTCTTTCTTTCTCTCTTTTTCTTGCTTCTTTTATTTTTCTTCCTAACTTTCTTGTTTCCTTTTGTTATTTGTTTCTTTTTCTTTATTCTGCCTCCCATCTTCCTAATTTTCCTTCTCTCCTCCTTTACTCCCTTTCCCCCCTTGTTACTGTACATTTTATTTTTCTTCAAAAACTCTTTTTTATTTTTCTTTTTTCTTTCCCTTTTTCTTTACTTTCATCCTTATTTTGCTCTTTCTTCTTTTCATTTTTCTTTATTTCTATGTCTTTTTTTTTCTTTTTCCTGTTACTCTCTTTGTAATTCCTCTTTTTTCCTTTTATCTTTTTTATCTTATTTACTCCTCCTTGTCTTTCCCTCTCTTCCATTCTCTCCCATTCTCTTCCATTCTCTTCCATTCTCTGCCATTCTCTCCCATTCTCTTCCATTCTCTCTCATTTTTTTCATTCTCTCTTTCTCTCTCTCTCTCTCTCTCTCTTTCTCACCGTCTCCCTGTCTCTCCATCTCCCTCTCTCCCCCTTTTCTCTCTCCCTATCTCGACAACCTGAAACGGTCATCGTTGTTTTGCGGGCATTAACTAAAGTCTTAAATGAAAGTGAGTACATCATACGTCATGTCACCATAGCCCACGGTCGTCATCGTGACAACGGCCCACCAGAACGCGTCCGGAATGGACTTGAAGAACGAATTCTCGGAGCCGGCCTCCGCGAAGTATACCGCCGACGAGAATAGCACCACACCTGCAATGCAAGGAAGAAAACACCGGTTCAGTGGGTTTAACGCCCCCGGTGGCTCTGTACCTCATGTCGCCGTAGCCCACGGTCGTCATCGTGACCACCGCCCACCAGAACGCGTCCGGTATCGATTTGAAGAAGCTGTCCTGCGTGCCGGCCTCCGCGAAGTAGACTGCCGACGAGAACAGCACCACACCTGCAACGCACACAAGAGGAAGGCACGGGTCAGGACGGTATACGTCATCGTCCACGCGCGTCGTATACATCGGTCTCGCGGACGCGAGGATCCGACTACTGAGATCATCCGATCTGTGCATCTTCCTAATCACACCTGGAATTGTCCACGTGGTATATGTATATCCCAGAATTAAACAAAATTGTTTATGATCCAGATAATCAGCTGATCACACCTGAACTGCTCATGGTATACGTTGTGAGCACACGGCTCAGTTACTAGGATCATCCAATCTGGATAATTTCGCGATCACACCTGGAACACTTGGACCTGCAATGTCCACATTCTAAAACTACAATGAACTGATTTCCTTTTAATCGATTTCCAAATTGATTCGACTTTCAGTTGAAAGCGAGTCAATGTATTTCCTTGATGAAAATCTGTGATTCATTTTTCAAAGAAAACATTTCTTAAAATCTTTTATAATTCCATTGTTATTGTACGTCAGCATGTGGCATATCCGATAACAGGAACTTTTCCACGCAGAACTAAAATCATCGACTGTGGGAGATTTCAATCTTGAAAAGCATTAATACGTTAAATTTGAGACAGCAACTTTGTGCTGTAGAGTATTTGATTTAAAAAATAATATTCTAATAATTTAAGTAAAATTTTAATAATTGCATATTAAATAAAATTTAAGAAAATAAATGAAAGATGTTTTATCAAAATTTCAAGAAAGTGTTACCTATTTGAGTAACATTTATCAATTTTTATTTATTACGAACTAATGTATAAATTTCAAGCGATACTACCTCATTACATGAATAAATTGACATAACTAATAAAAGAATTAATAAAAAAATTAAAAAATAACAACAATATCATGATTACAAATAAATTTGATACTATTGTAATAATTTAATTTCAATAATAATTTCAACAGAGAATTTTTATAGATTAATCAAAAGATAGAATCGATAGAATATATGATGACTAAAATAAATACTAATAATACTAACCAGCTTTATTTTTAAAATGTAAAAAGTAATAATATCATGCTACCTTTAAATCGTTAAAATAATTAAATTTCAAATATTCCAAGAATTTTGAGTAGCAATTTTCAATGGTAAAGATACAATAATTACACAGATCAACATTTTTTTTTTTACTTTGATCTCAATTAAATCTGTGTACTTATTTTGTTAATTTAAATATACAAATTGACATCTTTTGTTTACTTAATCTACAGTTCCTTTTATAAATGCAGAAATCTTTTGAAGTCATTAATAAGAGATTGTTTATTATCTATTTTAAACACAAAATAGTTCACTTTTTATATAAATTAAGTCTATAATAATTTTCTAAAATATAAATTATATTATTAATAAAATATTAATTATTTATAAATATTTAGTAGATATTTATTAGATCACAAATAAAAATTCGATTAAAATTGATATATTCTAAATTCTACTTTTTATTTTATTTGCGTCCATCCTTGCGTATTTTCTTTTTTAAGATATTGTGCCGCAAATGGTCTTCAAAAATTTTGATTATCAAATTTCCAATTGTACTCAATATACTACCAACACTAAAAATGTCATATTTGTTCTATTGCAAATCTCATTTATTTTATTATCTCATTTCTCTCAATGACGATAAGTATTCATGTAGATGTATAATTACCAAAAACCAAAAACGTTCTAAAACAGTATTTTGAATACCCTCAAAACAAAAAGAAAAATAAAATAAAAATTGTCAATTAGAAAACAATTTTTTATAGAAACAACTATAGTAATAATTCATATTTTGTTATTCATTTTTTTGATATCAACAAATTGCATATATTGCAGATATTTCTTTATTTTTACCTCTATCTTCGCTGCATTAATTTATATTAAATTTGATTATTACTTTATAAAAATAAGGAATTTGTCTAAAAACTATGTATAAAAGAGTTCTTATACGCTATTCCTTTATTAATGATAATTTAAATATCTTTAACGAAACAACTCAAATTCCAAAGCATTTACACACAGCATGTAATACATAATATAAACGAATACAAAGTAGAAAAAATTTGCAATTTTTATACCAATTTATATAAAATTAATAAATCCTTAATTCCTGTTTTATTTTTATCATTAATCGAACGGAAAAGATTATGAAACTCACCAATGAAAAGGAAAAAGATGAGCAACCCGAGTTCCCTCATGGAGGCTTTGAGGGTTCGCCCGAGGATCTGAAGGCCTTTACTGTGTCTGGATAACTTGAATATCCGGAACACTCGGACCAGCCTGATCACCCTGAGTATCGCCAAGGACATTGCCTGGTTCGTGCTTTTGTCCTGCGGGCTTACCGGTGCCTTGGGTAAATTCAGCGTGTCCTCCTCCTCGGCCACCACGGTGGCCAGGGTGATGAAATACGGAATGATCGCGATGATGTCGATGATGTTCATTACGTCACGGAAGAAGTTAAATTTATTTGGGCAGGCGAGGAAGCGCACTGTTAACTCGAACGTGAACCAGATGATACAAATAGTCTCTATTAGGAAGAACGGGTCCGTGATATCCGGCACTTCGTCCTCCTCGATCTTCGTGCCGTTTGTCGTCGTATTGAAGACCTTGTAGTGCTTGAACTCGGGTAGCGTTTCCAGGCAGAAGATCACAATCGACAGGAGGATCACGAACACGGAGATTATAGCGACCACCCGAGCACCCTGCGAGCTCTCCGGATATTCAAACAACAGCCAGATCTTCCTCTGAAACTCGTGCGACGGCAGCGGTTTCTCCTCCTCCTTAATGAAGCCCTCGTCCTCCCTGTTTGATCGGTCGTTGCTTGATTAATACCGCAAATATCGACTACTTAAATCGACTACTTATATATATATATATATATATATATATATATTATTTTTCTTTTAAGATAATATACAATATTTCCGGTTTCTATAAGAACTGTAGTCTTGCAATAAATATAAAGCATAACTAGAAATTTACAGAAATAACGACCTCTAGAAATTTATGTCGCGGCAAAGGATGTCTCTAAACTGATCAACAAAAAAAAGATCCATGTACAAGTAAAAGCCACTGAATACAATTCAAAAACAAATACAAAGGTTTATGATATCAAAAATTTCGTTGAAAGATTTATAAAAATCAAGGAATCTAACCATTTATAGCCATTTTAATTGCAATAACTGAAGGATTAGAAGTAAAGTCGCTGGGAATCAGACAGCTGCACTTATACCTGAACTTGTTGGTAGCCATCTCGCCCAGTTCATAGAACTTGATTTCTTCGGAGAAGACATCGAGCGGGACGTTGACCGGGCGGCGTAGGCGGCCACCGCTCTGATAGTAGTAGAGTATGGCATCGAAGGAAGGTCGGTTCCGATCGAAGAAATATTCGTTGCGCAGCGGATCGAAGTATCGGAGCCGCCGTGTCGGATCGCCGAGCAGCGTGTCCGGAAATTGGTTCAGCGTACGCAGCTGTGTCTCAAACCGTAACCCGCTCACCTGTCGATTGTAATAATCGATTATTGGTACGGTGGCGCCGCGCTGGGCGGGGCGCACCGCTCAAGCGGTTAATTGGAACAGCGGTGATTGTAGGGGTGGCTGCTCGTTTCAAAGGGGACTAATGTATCATCGGAGATTATCGCATCGATCACGCGAGTGAACCACCCACCTAACGTCGTTAGGTTAACTTATGTTGAGTAGTACCGGTTTCTTTCAAGTTTTTATAATATTTAAAACGAGGACATATGTATATTTTAGTGCTATCCCTCAGGATCTTTTGTCAGATCCAAAAAAAAAGTCTGTAGTCAAATCGAGAATTAATTATACTGACAAGGCATTTGTCATAAAAGATTTGTATGATGAGTTTATGAGGAATTAAAAATTTATAATACAAAAGATACATCGACAACAACCTTTTATTACAAAGACATTGACAAATTACGACGATTATGAAAACAAAAATTTAAACATGAATTTTAAGAAAGAAAAAATTGAGAACTTAAATAATTATATTTGAATAAATTGTAATCATCTTAGTATTTTTGGAAAACAAATAAGACATAAAGTGAATTTTTTATTACATTTTTTTCAAATGGAAAATTGCAATTTTAAAATAATTTCTTAATGAAAAATATATAAAATTTCAGCAATTTTTTATTCAACAATAGTGAGTTGATTAAGTCATTCATTCTTAGAAAATCGAACACACACTCAAGAAAAATCTAAACTCATATTCTCCACAAAAATAGAAACAAGAAAGAAAACACAAAGAAGAAAAGTAAAGGCGGCCAAAATGTAAACCAAGTAACAAACTATTTCCGCTCTGTACGAACCCATATTTCATAAAGAAAAGTATGTTTAAGGATTAACGAAGTAAAAAAAATAAACATTACATCATAAAAATAAACATTACATCGGTTCATTTCATCATAAAAAAACGACATGGTTCTATTGAAAAATCAATAGCATTTCCATCACTATGAAAGAAAATCTATGATAGAATTACTGGTTAAATAATGTTCAATTATAATGTTCAATGTTTTTGCTTTTAACATTTTATTTTTAACTGAGACCAGAAGGAAAAACATGTGTAGATAAGTGCACGTTATACGCTAATAACACCTACATATTTCATCTACATCGCATGGCGTGTTTTGAGCTTTTGAACCCACCATAAGAGAGCCCACCATAGAAGAGAAGAAAAAAAGAGAAAAAAATTAATGAAATGCATCGATCGAATCGATTGCTGTAATTGGCGCAATGCAGTCGTGTCATCCGCGAGGACAGATAATTCCGTTCACACAATACGACCTTGGTGCTATATCGCCTCCGATTCCAAGACGAACTTGGATGGCCGCCAAAACGCAGTCTGTAGGTCACTTCATGTCTTGAGATAATCTCACCTCGTCAGAAAGAAGAAAGCATGTGAATACTGAACCGGACTAGAATTACCTACGTATAAATTATCTACGTGGGTAATTCCAATCATAATGACAAAAGAAACTTAACAAAAAAAAAAATTAATGAGGAAAAACAGATCAAAGAACAATGTTAAAATGGAATAGAATGGATTGTGTTTAATTTTGAGAAATTAGTATATTTTACTGGGAACTGTCGAACCTAGAATTTATGACACCAAGACTTCGCGAAATTAAGGATCTCTGGTGCCAAGACTCTGTAAAGATGAAACTTTTTTGGCAACTAGAATTGAAAATTTTTCCAAGAATCAGTGGCGCCAAAGATGATAAAAGAGCAAAAAGTTTTTGACATGTCTCTTAAGAATTCTTTAACCTGATAAAAATAAAAATATGTAAAAATATTCTCTCAAAATGATGAAATGGAAAGAGTATTTTCCAACTATTTGTCAGTCTGAAATCAAAAGGTGGCGATACAGAATTAGGACAATTAAATGCTAAAATTCTCACTCACGTTGATGACGACCCTTTCACAGAAGTCATGATCGTGCGGTATGGGTTCGAAGTGTGTGACGCCTGTGTATTGGGTGTGGGGGTTCGTCCCATCCTCGTCCTGGCTGCTGAGTTTCGGCAGCGATCTGTAATAATCAAAATTATACTGTTGTTAATAATTCTTTGACAGTATGTTTGAGAAGTTATATATTATTTTAATATATCTGGCACACACACACATATATATATATATATATATATATATATATATTATAAATAAAAAGTAATACTTCCTTCTTTGTCACAGAAATTATTTCTATTGTCATTCACTAGGCTTAACCTTCGTCCGGCAGACCGAGTCCATTCGAATCTGTGTTATACTATTTATAATCATAAGATTATTTGATTTATATAAAATGCAACAATTGTCAAATAATTTCCATTCAGTAAATAAAATCTGTATTTTATATATATATATATATTAACTATAATAGAACATATTTAAAAAGATATATAATAATGTAGTATAAGATTAATATAAGAAAAATTAAATATATTTCTTGTGAAAAATTAAGTAAATGTTCTTTAAGTAAATGTTCTTATTTGTATTTTATATAAAAATGCTAAAAATTCTTTAACTTAAAAAATAAATAAAATCTTAAAAAATCTGTAGATACAATTACAGATACAAAAATTCAATCAAAATTTTTCTCAAATATGAAGAGACAAAATTCAAATTTGGGTCTGAATGAATCCGAAATCCACCATTCGATCGGTCAGTGAAGAATTAAAAGAAATTTGTATTGATCTAATAAAATTTAAAAGTCTAGTAAAGTATTTGAGTCTAGTAAAATTCGAAATTCACTGATCTAATAAAATAGTCTAATAAAATTTCTAAAGCGCATACAAAACCACCCCAAGACATCACTAATGTGGCACAGAAATTTATTAAATCAAAATTGTACTTTTTTAAATTACAAATTATAAGTTAAAAATTTTAGATTAGATTAAGATCGTTAAGAAACTTTTTTAAATTTTTTGCTCATTCTTAACACACTTTTGACCGTAGTTCGTCTGTACTACATTAGACAAGTATACTTTCAGGTCCGCGAGCTATCTTATTAATAGACTATCAGGTGAAGGCGTGTATACGTATCTACTAGGTTGCTATACTTGATGTTCTAATAGCCAAATCAAAATAGATACACACGATGCACATCTATAATCTATAACATACATATATTCTACGTATTAATGCCTACTCATTAGCAATCTCTACTGGAATTGGTGTATTCATGTTGTCGGAAATGTGTCAAACAATCCGATGAATGCGCGTCGGGTCTGACGATAGTCAAACAGAAAATACGCGATTTGAATGAATGTCGAAGCGACAATCGCACGGAAATTATGTCGGCAAGTTGCCAAGTACGTTAATTAACTGCCAAAAACAATGGGATTGGAAAATATCAAGCGACTTGAAGAACAGTGGTATACTTCAAAAACTAAATAACATATATGTTAAATTTGCCTTCATTATTTTTTCACTTTTTACTTCATCTAAATATATAAATAAATATCTCAATTAATTTGTATAAATAAACAGATTAATATTATGTAATCACACATAATCAGACAACTAATTGTGCGTGGAAGTTTGACATCTTTTGAAAATGAGACAATGACTATCCCTACCAGAGAGTTCCAAAGATCACTTCAAATAATATTTTCAAGCGAAACTTTTATTTCATAAAAATTTATTGATCTGACAAACATTCTTCTATGATTTTGCGATGATTATTAATGAATAATGAATGATAAATTAGTTTTTAATCATTATTATTATTGTATCATATTTATGATTCATCTTAAAAAACTTTGGACTAAAATATGCTTATGGCAATATTGATAGTATATATCTGTTTGATAAACACAAGAATATGTAATATTAAATAAATAAAATATCACATTTTAACATCATAATGAAGAAAGCCAAGAAAATAAAAATTTAACCTGTGACAACTGATGGACTCTTTACTATGAAATTGTAATTGTGTTCCACTTGTTTGCCTGGTGCTTTGCGAAATATAGCCACGATATGAAGAGATTTAAAGAAGAAAAACAACTTGATCTTGAAGCTACTGGAATATTTCAATATTTAGCGTTTCTTGGATTGATCGTCGAACGGTCCACTTGTATAAGACGTGTAAAAGTCGCCCACGGCTAGTCGCCGTTACTTTACGAGTCGCCCGATTTAGAAGCGAGGATGCATCCAGTCGATATATCCGGCGGGGGTTACGTCGATCGACGATTTATTTTGGGACGTCAATGGGAAGTCGATGCGACGAGGACAAACATCAATTTCGAAGTCCATGTACTCCCGGAACGCGACGATGGAAATAGCGCAACGTAGTGGCAAAAATAGCCACTACGCGATTTTACATGATAACTGCCGATGGCACGTGCCGCCATGGGGAAAGATTTCATGTGCGACAAATAGATTCGACATGCTCACGATATTTTAATAATTCCTGAGAAACGTTCCGAGAAAAAAAATCCATAAAAAGGCACTTTTATAATAATTGTTCTAATTCTACTAAATATTCGTAATAACATAGCAGAAGTTTGTTTGTAATCATGTAATCATAACCATCTGCTAAAAGGATTAAATAAGAACTAATTAAAATTTTTCTATACAAAGCGCAGCATTACAGCGGCACTAAGTAGATTGTTAATAATAGCAGTTGTTGTACGTTTTATGAACGATATACATTGCGATCATTTACAATCCCAAGGAATTGAAACAAGACCTAGATTATGATTCGAGAAAATTGGTTCTTCGAAAGGTCTCGATAATGTGGAATACATGGCGTGCACTACATTTCAACAATCAGACATAATGCGTAGGTTATTACGCGCATAAATTATTCCGCCCACAATAATTATAATAAATATCAAGTCATTGTAAAACATTCGCATATATAAGATATTCGGCGAGAAAAAATTCAAATTCTTACAAATTTTAAAATTTTTCTTAATTTTCAGATGTTAAATAATAATAATATTAACAAATAATAAGTATTAAATAATACACAGTATTTTTAAATTTGTTTTTTTTTGCATATTTTAATATGCAAATAACTTTTTTTATAAAATTCGTAAACATTATCTAAAATATATTCTCCGAATTTCATCGTTTCATAAATCTTCTTGCAATTTTAGAACTTCTCCTTTTCAAGTAAATTTGCCCAAAATAACTAACAAATATAACCCATCGATATCTATTAATGCCGAATGATATAAAGGTTGGTCTATTACAGATGGTTAATTGAGGAGACACGTGTAAAAGGTTGGCCCTAGTAATGTTAATCTGGTCTAGTCATTATCTTCAACTGAAAATCAATTCTGTTTATATATGCTAGCCGAATATTCCTGAAAAAATAATAAGCTAGCTGAAGTAGAAGAAGAAAAAAAAACTAATGGGATACGATAAAAAAAAGAACGAGTATTGATTTTTGTGCTCAATTATCACTAATTATTACATATGTACTTGAATTCTATAGAGTTAATAAAAATGTAATGTAGCTCTATAATGTAAAAATTTTTCGAACTTATCGATATTTGTATTTTCTAACGATATTGATGAAGAAATATTTCAAAAAAAGCATATTTCTGAATCTGCAACTACTAAAACTTGTAACGTGAAAACGCATAATTTGCACGTATTAACAAAATACGTATCTAACAAAATACTATTCTGTCTTTTAAAAGCTAATCTGTCTTTTAAAATTTAAAAAAACTAACTAATTCGTATGAAGTATAATTATTACCTTGTGTATCTCTCACAATTTCTTTCCTGCCAAAAAACGACGAAATAGGAAGCCTTAAATATTTATTGAGCTCTTATAGCTCTCACTGCCTTTATCTGCAACACTTCGCCTACATGAAGCATCGCCCTTCCTATTTTTATGCGACCATTCATGTCTCAGCATAATCAGGCTGACCCATATTAAGAGAAGAGATCGACGGTGAGAAAGACAAAAAAGCTGACTGCGCATGAATCTTCAAGAAGAAAGTTGCGTAACCTGATCCTTAGAAAAGGGTAGATTCTGATTCGAAGTTTTAACATCATTTTTATATCCTCTTCAGGTTTAGTAAAATTATTTCCCTTCTGGAAACATAATTTTTTATCTCATCAAAATGTAGAATTTATCGAATCAAAATTCTAAAAATAAATTTATAAATATATATTTTTAAATTAGATAAATATTACACTCGTGTAAAACAATTATCTATTGCTTTACAGAAAGATTAAAAGTTATACAAATAAATAATTAATTAAAAAAGCTAGTTAAAATTTATTATTTTTGTCAAAATAACAAATTAACATATTAAAAAATTATTGCAAAATTTGAATAATGATAATAAAAATCATGAAACATGAAAGTCAAGAAACATGAAAGTTAAAAAAACAAAATTTGTACAGTATTAAAATTTGTACAGTCTTTCAATAGAGAAAAATATATTTTAAATAAAAGATGTATTTATTGGAATTTATTGGAGCTATACATTCATCTCTAGCTGGTCCTGACTTCGTCATTAATTCAAAACTTTCTCAAGAAGCCCAAGCTACCTCGCTGTACTATTTTTCGCTCCTTAATGCGGCATCTACATTTTTCCACTGCATCGAGTGCTCCACCGAATAACGGAGAGACCACTGCGGAGCGGTACAGCGGCCCTTGACGATCTTTATAAAGTTACATAAAATGAAGAGGTGCGAAAGAAGCAAATATCAGCAAAGAAGAAAATTGAAATATTTGTTTGGCGGAAGTGCCAGATTTAAAGATTGCGTTGCATTTCTGCACATTTAGGTCAAATATAATACCGTAAATTCTCACAATAGATTTCTTTTACGATAATTAAATCAGAAATTTTTGCGGTCTTTTCAAACTGAAATGTTTAGATTTTAATTAATCAGTAGCGGCGAGAATTGATTTAATGAAACGCTTTTATTTAATGAAACGCTTTTAACAGAGTCCCATTATACAAATATATTTATAAAAATACAAAGCAAACACTTCAGATACAATTTTTCAAAAACATTGATCGTATCATATCTTGCATATTTAAATACACGATACTTTAGACA